ATTAGACAGAACATCAAGACAGAAAATTAACAGAGATATTTAGTACCTGAACTCAGCTCTAGGTCAAGCAGACCTGATAGACATCTACAGAACTCTCCACCCAAAAACAACAACATATACATTCTTCTCATCACCACATGGCTCTTACTCCAAAATTGATCACATAATCAGAAGTAAAATACTCCTTAGCAAATGCAAAAGAAGTGAAATCATAACGAACAGTCTCTCAGACAGCAGTGCAAGCAAGTTAGAACTTAAGACTAAGAAATTCACTGAAAACCGTACAATTTCATAGAAATTGAATAAACAACTCCTGAATGACATTTCAGTAAATAATGAAATTAAGGCAGAAGTCAAGTTCTTTGAAACTAATGATAACACAGATCCAACATACCAGAATCTTTGGGACAGCTAACACAGTGTTAATACGGAAATTTATAGCACTAAATGCCCACATCCAAATGTTAGAAAGATCTCAAGTTAACAACCTACCATCACAACTAAGAGAACTAGGGAACCAAGAGCAAATAAATCTCAAAGCCAGCGGAAGACAAGAAATAACCAAAATCAGAGCTGAACTGAAGGAAATAGAGACATGAAAAAACATTCAAAAGATCAATGAATCAGGAACTGATCTTTTGAAAAAAATAATAAAATAGATAGCCCACTGGCTAGACTAATAAAGAAGAAAAGAGAGAAGATTTAAATAAACACAATCAGAAATGAAAAGGGGGATGTTACCCCTGACCCCACAGAAATGCAAACAACTATCAAAGAATGTTATAAACACTTCTGTGCACATAAGCCATAAAATCTAGAAGAAATGGATAAATTCCTGGATACATACACCCTCTCAAGACTGAATCAGGAAGAAACTGAATCCCTGAACAGACCAATAATGAGTTCTGAAATTGAGGCAGTGATAAATAGCCTACCAACAAAAAAAAAAGGCCAGGACCAGATGAATTCACAACTGAATTCCACCAGATGTACAAAGAAGAACTGGTACCATTCCTACTGAAACTATTCTAAAAAATTGAAAAGGAGGAACTCCTCCCCTACTCATTCTGTGAGGCCAGCATCATCCTGATACCAAAACTTGACAGAGATTAAAAAAAAATTAAGCCAATATCCTTGATGAACATTGATGCAAAAACCCTCAACAAAATACTGGCAAACTGAATTCAGCAGCACATAAAAAAGCTTATCCACCTATCCACCCAGCAGCACATCAAAAAGCTTATTCACCACAATCAAGAAGGCTTCATCCACAGGAAGCAAGGTTGGTTCAACATATGCAAATCAATCAATGTGATTCATCACATAAACAGAACTAAAGACAAAAACCACATGATTATCTCCATGGATACAGAAAAGGCTTTTAATAAAATCCAACATCCTTTCATGTTAAAAACTCTCAATAAACTAGGTATTAAAGGAACATACCTCAAAATAATAAGAGCCATATATGAGAAACCCACTGCCAACATCATACTGAACAGGCAAACGCTGGAAGCATTCCCCTTGAAAAGCAGCACAAGACAAGGATGTCCTCTCTCACCACTCCTATTCAACATAGTATTGGAAGTTCTGGCCAGGACAATCACGCAAGAAAAATAAACAGCATTCAAATAGGAAGAGAGGAAGTCCAACTATCCCTATTTGCAGATAACATGATCCTATATCTAGAAAACCCCATCATCTCAGCCCAAAAGCTTCTTAGCAGATAAATAACTTTAGCAAAGTCTCAGGATACAACATTGATGTGCAAAAATCACTATCATTCCTATACACCAACAACAGGCAAGTCAAGAGCCAAGTCATGAACAAACTTTCATTTACAATTGCCACAAAAATAATAAAATACTTAGGAATACAGCTAACCAAGGAGGTGAAGATCTCTACAAGAAGAACTATGAAGTATGGCTCAGATAAATCAGAAATGACACAAACAAATTGAAAAATATTCTATGCTCATAAACAGGAAGAATCAATATCATTAAGATGGCCATACTGACATTTATAGATTTAATGTTACAATGCAATTTATAAATTCAATGCTATTCCTGTCAAACTACCAATGACATTCTTCACAGAACTAGAAAAAAACTATTTTAAAATTCATATGGAACCAAAAAAGAGCCTGAATTGCCAAGGCAATCTTAAGCAAAAAGAACAAAGCTGGAGGCATCATGCTGTCCAACTTCCAACTATATTACAGGGCTACAGTAACCAAAGCAGCATGGTGCTGTTACAAAAACAGATACATAGACCGATGAAATAAAATAGAAAGCCCAGAAATAAGGCTACATACCTACAACCATCTGATCTTCAACAAAGCTGACAAAAACAAGCAATGGGGGAAGGATTCCCTTTTCAATAAACGGTGCTGGGATAACCATTCAACCCAACAATTCCGTTACTGGGTATATATCCAAAGGAATGTAAGTCATTCTGTTATAAAGACACATGCACACATATGTTTGTTGCAAAAATGTAAAATGTGCTTCATTATTTATCCTGTAACAGTCATCAAGGTTATTTCTAAATATTATTTATATACCAGGTCTCTAGTGAGTTAGTTTAACTAAAATACTGTTGTATTTATATTTATATTGATTTGCTCACATTGAGCCCACTTATTGTTACTTTTATTTATAAGGACCCTTCACATATTAAAGACATTCTCTTTGGGGGGAAATGTTTTCAATGTAAGTGACAAGCATTTTGTCATTTGTCTTTGGATATTGCCTATGGTATTTTCTACCTTACAAAAGTCTTCTATGCTCTAACTTATTGATAGTTTCCTTTATGCCTTCCTCTCTTAAACATTATTTTTAATTCACCCTCTCATTTAGTGTTTATAATGATTTCATTTCCTCATAGAAAAAAGGATGGGAAGGGAAGGGTGTGTGTGTGTGTGTGTGTGTGTGTGTGTCTTGTTTGGTCACTTTTTGGAAAAAGTATTTATATCATACCTAGATTTCTACTTGAATTGATTCTCAGTGGAAAATTAGTGAATACTGAATCAGTCGATAACACTTGCTGTGTTCCAGCTTGGCCATAGCAATTACTGTGTTTCCCTCATTAATGAACGTGTTCGTTCATTTTGAAATTCCTACTACTTTGCCTGCTGTGACTTTGTTTATTTTGTAAAACCATCCTGACTAGTTTAAACAATTTAATCGCTTTCAGCATGATGAGATTATTTCTTGTAACGTATCTGTTTCCATTGTAAAATAATGATAACACATCTGCCTTTGGGGCACAGCACTGTATCACAGTACTGTATCTGAGATGTTCAAATATAAATGGAAGTGTTCCATTATAAGGCCTCCCATCCTCAATTGATCATTTTTCCTTCTTTATTCAACAGTATTTCTTTATTTCCTTCCCTTTCCTTCCCTTCCCTTCCTTTCCCTTCCCTTCCCTTCCCTTCCTTCCTCCACCTTTCCTCTGGTCTTTATCACCTGGTCCTTCTCTGGTATTTTTCCCTTAACTTGGCCTACATATTTACCCCAGTTTTCTCCCTAAAACACCGGTAGGCTCACATAGTCCTCACCTTCCTCTGTACAAGGCCAGGGTACCCACAAGCCTGGAGCTGAAAACCTTCCTTTGGCAGTCATTACTGTTGAAAGAATTTCCACATGTGCAAATCTTTCAGGACAAGTATTGCAGACAATGCAAGTGATCTGTCTTGAGTCCAGCGACATCACAGGGACCACCCCATGTGGGATTTTCCTCATCCTGCCCATAACATTTGAACTCAGTTGAAATGAACATCAAAGGCTTCTCTAAAGAAGAAAAGAAAAAGAAGAGGAGTCATAAAAGGGCAGAGTAAGGCCTGGAGACAAAGTTGAGATAGGGACAGTGTATGACCAGGCAGACAGCACCAGCAGTGCTGGGATATCCCTATTTGCCAAGTCCTCAAGGTATTTTCCTATGATTACTCCGTATATCAGGATCCTGCAGTCAACGCAATTCTCATCCATTCCAGTCATTTCATAGCTGACTTGGAGAGGAGTAAAGGAAAAGGAAGTTGCCATACTATTGTATGATTTAACTCAATAATAACAGTTTAGAAAACGTGTCTTCATATTTATGAAAGGAAGATTTAACATGCAAAATATATTCTGATTTAAAGTTGAGGTAGAGGAAGACAAAACAAATTTCCCTCAATCTCACCTTTGCCACCACCATCATTCCACCAAGGGGAGGCCTTAGAGCAGCCCTCTGAAGTTTTTACATTTAAGTTGCTTAGGAAAAGGCAGTGTTCCATGTGTCCCAACCCATGTTACAGCCCCAGCTCTGGGTTGAGGGGTACTTTGCTTTCCTTGCCAACTGCCCTTAAGCTCATTCATTTTAAGGACCTCGTGGGAGGGATGACTGTAATCTGAGGTGGGATTTACATTTTCTTGAGAACTTTGAACTTAATATCATTATACAGCACCCCAATATCCTTCCCAAGCCCAATTTTCAAAGCTGCCATAGTTTCACTATGGGTGTTAGTAGATTCATTTACCAAATTAGCCAAGCCATTACTGGACAGAAGTCAAGGACCGGAGGATGGTGGGCTACAAGGGAGGGACCCAGGGAAATTCTGCCAAATCCTGATGTAAAGTACCAAGGGCTGGGGATGGTTGGACAGCCTGGGAAACCTTGATGTTGAGAACATTTTTCAAAGGAATGTAAAAGGGAATAAATGGGAAGGGCTTGAAACAAATCTGCTTTGCACTTATGTCTACAGAGCAGTGTTTCTCAGACTACCTGTGGGAGAGACCAGCAACAAACAAATTTCGTTTGTTAATTTGTTTGTTTTCAGTTTCAGCCCATTGTGAACTGATACGTTTATACAATACAAATAAATAGAAAAAAAGTAATTAAATAAAAAACAAAGGCATACAAAATACACACCCAATTTTTATTATATTGGAAAAACTATATTTCATTAATAAAATAAATTAATACAGTGACATGTTAAGTAGTTGTTACAGTTTCTAAACTCTGGCTCTCAATTTCTGTCCCCATCTTGCTCCAAATCAGTAAGAAACAGGTTCGGAGACTGGCACAGGTCTGCGGGTCATGCTTTGATTGACATGGCTCTAGGGGGTGTAGTTTATAAATCTGACGGAGCAGGTGTCTGGGCTGTTGAAGAAAGGCAGTCCAAGGGGTAGAACCACACGAGGCCTTTGGAGCAGCGGAACAGCTGTTCTATAAGGGTATCCTGAAACACAGGAGAGGCAGAAACAACATCTCTAAGAGCAGCAAGAAAGACAGCTAAACACAGCAAAGGAGAACCACAAGGCCACGACGTGTGAAGGCCAGCCCTGCTCTGAGCACGGCCTTGCACTTGCTCGGTCCGGTACAGCTGCTGTAAAGCCATCCAAAGCAAACACGGCCCTCCCTGCAGCAGACTCAACAGAACGAAAACCAACACCCAGAAATAAATTAGATCACCGAGTTCATCATGTTACACAGCCCACTGTTCTCAAATCCAGGATCTTGAATATAATAACAAATGATACTATTAACTGGCTAATTGGTCTGAAGCCAAAACCAAATAACTCATTGCTATTAACCAACATGATTCTCAGAATTTTCCAAGTCAGCTACAAGAAAGAGTTATGAGACCCTTCCCAACTGAACTAAATCTCACCCATGTCTAATTGCACGCAGTGCATATGGCTAAACCCTTTTTCTCTTCTGCACAGCCAGCTTGCCTCTCAGAGCATCTAAGCCCCCAGGGACTTCTCAAAAGAGGCAGGCATGTAGTCAGGTTGAAAGGAACATGGAGCTGGGAGCCAGCACATAGGCGCTTAAGGGCCACCTACTAACTCGGTAATCTCAAGCAAGTCCCTGCATTTCCGTTTCTTTATCCATAAAACAAGACTAAGGACAACCACTTCCCTGGAAATACAGCTAAAAACGTTCAGTAATTTGTACAATGCTATGTGGACTTTAGTCCTTACTCCTCAGAAATAAGCAGCTGAGAGATGTTTGTAACCATTCCCATTTCCCCCACCACACACACACACACACACACACACACACACACACACGAAGCTTTGTCCTTTACAATTTATTTCTTCCTTAGAGTTCAGATGACTTCCACCTGTCACAGATTCCACCTGGGATCCTTATGATCCCAGCATCACTGGGATGTAGCAGGGAACAGATGCCATCCTGTCCGCCTTCCAATGTGGAACAATGGCACACAGTAAAGCCATCCAAGGCACATCAACAGTGACAAAGATGACTTGAAAATTCACAGGGACATTTGAGTGGGAGTAATAAGTTTGGTTTATTAAGCTTGTGGCTTTTCTTAACCTGGCTCCTCCTTATCTCACCTTCTGCTCTCTCTGGCAGGAAGTCACTGCTCTGCATTGGTTTTGTTCATTCCGTTTAATATGTAGAAGGCTTTGCTGTTGCCACATACCTGTACAAGGGAAGCAGGCTTTTTATAAAATTCTGTGTTCTGGCAGGGTACTCATTCACATGCAAGTTAACATACAGGGAGGTCAGGCAGGTGATTTGGTCTAGGTCATAAGCTGTGTTGCCTTGGGCAAATTACTTAGCCTCTTGGAACTTATTTCTTCCATTGTAATGTAAATATAATAGTTGTCCTGCTTTCCTCAAAGACATAGAAATGAAACCATAAATGATCACATAAAAAGAATTTTGGAAATAACTTAAGGCATTTTACTTATATATTATTAAGTTATAATGTATAATATATAATTATAATATTAATTATTATTATTCCTACTTTCTGTGCTAGAAAACAATGTGATAGGAATCTCTTGCAATCTGCTGAGCATAAAAGTTCTGGATTTTAATTCTCCTTTCTAAAATGAATGGAAGACAGAATGCATACATCTTAAAAGAAAGATCTGTTGATGTAATGCAAATTTTGATCAGTATTTCTAGGAAGTGGTTGGCATTCTGGTGTGTGATCTATTTGTATTCATTTTATATTTGCACTGCTGATCAGTGTCTGGTACCAACAGAATCTTGTAGAATCTTGAGTCTAATACCTTTTGTATTGAAGGCCTGGCAATGCATTGTCATCTGCTCTGGGGAGAAGTACAAAATGCAGTCCTTTATTTTTAAAAGACATTATTATTAAGTCCCTGGAAAAGCATACAGCCATTTTCAGTTAAAAGTGAGTAAAAGAGAGACTCTGAATCAAAAATAGTTGCCAATGCTCACCTTTAATAACATTATGAAATCTCGCAAAAATGTAACTAAAATTTAACCAAATTTGGGCAAACTTAGAAAAACGACATGAGTAGGGATGTTTGCTGCAAAACATTTGGCTTTCTCTGGATGATGCTCAGGCTTTAGCTAAGCCACATTGTGAGGTAACCATATCTATGTTCAAATGAAAAAGAGAGAAGAATGAAATACGATAGGCACCATTTTGTGCCAGGAAAAATAGTAAGTATTGCTTGAGAGCAATGGACATCTTTGAACTCTGTCTGAAACTTCATTACATTCTTACTGCATGGATATTTTTCATTTATAAATATTATATACATATATAGTATAAATTTTATTTATAATATAAGTACTCTGATACAGATATTACAGATGGTATCCCCAGATAGGAGTTCTTTATGGCCCACATACCTCTCCCAAAAAAGTGCTAAAAGCAATTAGCTGGGCGTGATGGTGGGCACAGGTAGTCAGTCCCATCTACTCGGGAGGCTGAGGCAGGAGAATAGCGTGAACCCGGGAGGCAGAGCCTGCAGTGAGCCGAGATCGCGCCACTGCACTCCAGCCTGGGTGACAGAGGGAGACTGCATCTCAAAACAATACAAAACAAAAAAGTGCTAAAAGCACAGACCTGAAAGTCCCCAAACTGATACATAACGTTTATACCTAGGTGTGAAAACAATCTTACCCCTAGAGCACTTGTGGTGAGAAAGTCAAAACTTGCAAGAACCAAAGGCAGTCTTCAGAATCTTCTTCCTTCATCACACAATCAAAGCATTTCATCTGGGCTTCTTAAATCTACGTCTTTAAAATGACTAAGTTTTCTTCCTTTTCTCTGTTTTTCCTAATAGCTGGGGCTTGTATGACTCCTGTGTGTAAGTATCTCCTATATCTACATGTAAACTTTAAATGAATTTCTACTGACCATATTGTTATATTATAGATGAAAATTATTTTCACAATCATTCCTATCTTTCTGAACTGTAATGTATTATACAAATTTTTCATCAGTAAAATTATTGTAGCTTTTAGGTAGGGTTACTGTTGTTCTTTAAGCTTTGAAAATAATATAGTGCCCGTCATTGGAAGAATTACATGAAACAGTCTGTTTAGATCTTTTGTGTGAAATCTTTTGGTCTACTTTTGTAGGTTTCAATATGGAAATTATTGGAGGGAAAGAAGTGTCACCTCACTCCAGGCCATTTATGGCCTCCATCCAGTATGGCGGACATCACGTTTGTGGAGGTGTTCTGATTGATCCACAGTGGGTGTTGACAGCGGCCCACTGCCAATATCCGTAAGTCCGCCACACTTTTCCAGGCATGTGTTTTTTCTGCAACGTATTATAGCTATAAGAGAAGCTTACCTCTCCTGAGTGAGAATTTGACCTACAGTTAGTTTCTGTGGTCACTGACCAACTGGTGGCGTTTACTTACCTTCTTCCACATCCATGCTTTCTGGCCTGGGTTTTCCTTTTCAGAGAGAACTGAGCTGCTTTTCCCAGGCAAGATGTTAGACAAATTCAAGTCCTCTGTATAATGCAGGGAACACAGTAACGGTAATATTTGAAGCAACAGTATTTTTGACCTTGTTAGATCCACTGCTCAAGAGGAAATCAGACAACCAGAGCTTGCTCTGTGCTCTGAGCTTCCCCATTTTACAAAGGGGTAATAATAATATCATACCTGCTTTGTGGGGTTTGAGAATAGTATCTGTTTCTGTTAAGTATTTTAGCATGCTTGGCACATTTAGTAAGCACAAAAAAATTGCAGCTATTATCATTAGTATTATACGCATGAGAAGCCTACTTTGCCACTCCTAACAGTAGCTACTCACCACTTACAACTTTCCTAGGTGGAAAAAAAAAAAAAAAAAACAAGTTATTGATGACTTCTAAAAAGAGAAAGATAATGAGAGATTTATTTTCTCGGATACTTAGAATGAAAGCTTTTCTGAAGACAGAGTAAAACCTCCCAAAGTCCATTTTGGCGTAGGATTCTCTTACTTCAGCTAATAAAGCACAAAACCCCTCTTGGGATGCTGCAACCATCACAAAAGGAAATGCCAGTAGAAAACTAATTTCATGTTTGTTGTTTTGTTTGTTTGCTTGGGGTTTTTGGTTTTGTTTTTTGTTTGTGTGTATGTTTCCTTATGTTTCTTGCCTAATAAGCTGAAATGGAGCCTTCTCCTTTTCTTTCACTTAAAGATCTCTCTTAGCTGTCATGGTTTGCTCTCCAGGCATTGTCTATATCTAAACAGAACAACTCAATTGATTTGCTTTTCCATGCTTTGGGGGTTTTGTCTGATTGCCCCATTTAAATGGAACTGTTTGATCACAAATTGAAGTTTTGAAGCCTGCAGACAGGGAGATCTTCTGCTATCTCTAAATAGCAACCCACTGATTTCCAATTTAATATGGTTACTTCATTTACATGGGGTTCTTGCCCTCATAGAAATCACACTCTCATCCCCATCACTTCTCTCTTCTCCAGGGCACTTGCCCCCGCGAGATGAGAGAGACAGAGTGGAGAACTGTCAGTAAATGTTCATTTAATGCAAAATATGCACATCTTCAAATATGCTCATGATACACATTCAAATGGTCTATAACCTCCCCAGACAGAGAGCTTGACTTTTAAATGTTCAACAAACATTGGATGGAAAGAAAGAAATACATTTAAAGATCTTTCTTTCTTTCTTTGACTAGGCCTGAAACATGGTATATGAAAAAGTGTTTCACTAGCCATAAAGTGTTATAGGAAGTTAAATAATATTACTAAGTTGAATTTTAAATTTTGTCAAGTGGATTTAAGTCATGAGAAGTGGATTCCCAAACTGGGGAAAGAGATTATTAAAAAAACACTGGAGAGAGGTCTTAGAGGTTGTTGTTTGTTTTTTTTTTTTTTTTTCTTAAAACAAACTATTGCTAAGTATCATTTTAAATGGCTGGGGTATAAAGAACTCCAAAATATGTAGAACGCATTTCCTCTACAGGACACTTGGGTGTAAAAAGTAGGCAGATCGGTGGTTGGAAAAATATTAAGCTTTATGAAATTCAAAATATTTACGAAATAGCTCAATGGTGGCTTCCCACAAATGTACTCCCCAGTATCCTGTGGGAATAGTTTGCCCCAAGCCTCTCTCTCAGCAAAATTGTGAAGAAGGTCAAACCTGGGAGTGATCCCTTCTCACCAGCCATCCACACAGCTCCTCCCTCAGTATCCTGGCCCCTTTATTAGTTGCCATGTCAAATATAAAAGGAAATTGATTAAAATGTCCTGTACAAACTTATTTTCAGCATTTTAACTTACCAGAAGCAAAACTCTCACCAGCTGTTATACCCTGTTCTCCTGATTCTCTCCCAGACCCCCTCACAGAGCACTTCCCCCTGCCCCAACCTGCCTAGCAAGGTGTTAGATGGAACCTTCCACAGCCCCTTCCACACGGCCTCACTCCATCTCAAATGCTCAAGGCTCCTGGGACAAAATGGTTCAATGTTCAGGCTCTAGATTCAAGCCAAATGCGCTTTAATCCTGCCTGGATTTGCCTCCTGGAGGCAAAGGTCCTCAAGTTTATTCGCTTACCTGAACCTCAATTTCTTCATCTCTAAAATGGAGATTATCATAATACCTATCTCACCACGCTGTTGTTAGGTTTAAATGAGGGAAGTTTTTTGTAAAATGCTTAACACAGAACACAAAGAACTTAATAGATGTTATCGAGTACTGTTATACAATTATCTGTGCCTTTCATGGTAATAACCAAGGAACTAATCTGATGTTGACGAGATAAGACTGGGAAGACCTCCCTGTCTGACAGCCAAGTTCTTCTCCCTCTCTCTTAGACAAGAGAAATCTCCAAGACATAGGGACCCTGCCTTTGCTGCCAGACCTCAAGGGGTGGGTCTAAACAGAAACACTGCTAAGCGTCCAGGCAGGCTGGCAGAGAAAAGAAGAGGCTTCAAGGGGGTTGGCACAGGGTTCAAAGAGGGATTGAGGAAAGAGCACTGGACTGGGAGTCACCAAAAGCCAAATTTGGATCCTGATTGCCCTATTTATGAGGTGTGTCACCTTGGACCAGTCAGAGAACAATATTTTACTGGTAATGAATACACAGCCCATCAGCTTTACCAGCCCTGAGAAAGGTTGTTGTTAGGCTCAGTTGAGACAATGTTTACAGATATCTTCAGCAGACCTACTATAAGCCCCACGGTAGTTCTGCTCCGTATATGATTCTCTTCCAGAAAGTTCCGGGTGGGACTCAGGAAACCGCATTTTAAGCCAATACCTCCAGGTGATTCTGAAGCAAGCTGAAGACTGCACTTGGGGAAACACTGTGTTGTGCAACTCAAAAACACTGGTATTATCACTTCTCCTTTGTGTGAATTCAGACTTCAGTTTAGCTAAGGAGGTGGGATCCTAGAACTCAAGTAATTCCAGGTATCCCGTGGGCAGAAAACTTGACCTCAGTGGCACAGATTACAGTTGAAGGATATCTAGAAATTGAAAGTTCAGAAGGAATAATGGTCTGCTTGGGTTGTTCTTGGTCTTAACACATCCCAGTGGAGACAAAAATAACCAAAACATTTCAAAGGCAATAACTCGCTGAGGAAATTAGTAAAAGATGAAAAAAAAACAGACATTTTTTCAGCACCCCTCCCTTAGTGAAAATCCACCTTCCATACCTCTCATTTGTACTTCACAGCCTTCTTTGTGTGAGTCATTTAGGCACGTGCCCACCTTTCTGTTAGAGCATTCATCCTGAAGATTTTTGTCACCCTTCTTCTACAAAGTTTTGGGTTTAGTGGGTATGTTGAATTTGAATTCAAATTCAAATCAATCCTAGGAAATCCAGTCCACATCCTATGAGAAATTTCCACCCCATCCTGATTTTGCAATAGGCAAACTTTTCAACAAATAGAGCTGGAATTCCCAAAATAAATAAAAATAACCTCTTTTGGTACAAACCAAAAAGTGGTCATTCCAGGCGGTCACAGCTCTGCCATAAGCAAACCCACTCCACCACAGGCATTTACTCATTTTCCAAATCTGAAACAATCATGTCTTCCTTTTTCTGTATGTTTCTGTGCTCTTTGTAACTTTTATGAATCTTTATTAACCTGTATGCATGAGTATGTGTGTTTTTACTGCAATCTACTTTGGTAGCTTTTTCAAGTACAAAAGAAATAGTTACACATAAACAAATACAATTAAAAGATCTGAGGTGGGCTTCATAAAGACAGACACTGTAATGGAATATATCTGTAGTATACAAATGGCTCTACGGTACTGTCAAAATCTCTAAAAATTATTTCTACTTTATCACTGCTGTAAATGTAATTTTATCCAACAAAGAGTAAATCTGGTCAATTGTGGCACTGTTGTAACACTGGTACTAGAACTGTGTATGACCAGAGATGTAAAAAACAAACCTGCCGAGCACAGAGACTCACACTTGTAATCCCAGCACTTTGGGAGGCTGAGGCCAGTAGATCACCTGAGGTCAGGAGATCGAGACCATCCTGGCCAACATGGCGAAACCCTGTCTTTACTAAAACTACAAAAATTAGCCAGGCGTGGTGGCACACACCTGTAGTCCCAGCCTCTTGAGAGGCTGAGGCAGGAGAATCGCTTGATCTGGGAGGCAGAGATTGCTGTGA